TGTGGGCTGCTCTCATCTCAGAAAACAGTGGCTGCTTGGGTGGCTGCACCTAAGCAGAAAGGCCAGCCACAGTGAGCAGGGATGCCCAGCAGGGGACCTCATAGGTGGTGCCACCAGGAGCTGGGGGGTAGTGGGTGGGGGTGATAAGCTGCATTTTGGAGTCAGGCAACCCTGGGTTTGGAACTGCCTCTGACACCTTCAGGCTGCTGAGAACCCCTGAGGCCCTCAGACCTGTGCTTCCTGACACTGCATCTCCAACTTGAGCCCCACCTAGTCCCTGAGCCAATTCCACAGGGCTGCTCTGGGTGCCCGGCTCGCCCAAGCCCTTCTGGGGTTGCTGGGGGTCAGTGGGACACAGGGACTGAAATTAAGGGTGATCAGGGGCCAGTAGGGATAGGTCCCCGTAGGGAAGGGCGAGGCAACAGGACTTCACTGAGATGCTTGGCGAGGCCAGGACATGAGAAAGGGAGGGTCCGCGGTCTGGGGAACCAGGGTTGGTGGCCAACACGGTGGCCACTCCAGGGAAGGGCTCTGCTGTGCACACTTACCCGTGTCACATATGCAGAGTGGCCGGCCTCGTCGTCCGCCAAGTACCCTGAGTGGTAGCGGCTGCTGGAGATGGTGCGGGTGGCCAGGCCTGCCGCCTGCCTCCTCTCTTACGGGTTCCACCGCACAGCGGCAGACTCCTCTGCGTAGGGCGAGGAGACGGCGTGAGGCTCCATCCAGCCCTCCATCGGGGTCTCCATTCGTCCTTCCGCCTCGCTGCCTACACCCCGCGTCCCTCGCGTGTTAGGGCCCTTCTTCTGCTGGAGTCCCCCAGCCGTCTGCGGACCATCTGATCCCAGAACGTCTGCATCCTACTCCCGACCATCTCTGTGTTTGTCCGACCCTTCCTCCCCCGAGACTCGGGAAACCCTGACGCCCGCCCCCAGCGCGGAGTCGACCCCGCTCACCGCAATCCGCGCCTTGCTCGGCTCGGGCTCGCGCAGCCTGCACCTGCTCGAGGGCGGCGGCGCGGTGCGCTGGGGTAGCTGCGCAGCCTCGCCTCCTGCTCGTTTGCATACCGCGACGTGATTGGTTGGCGACGGGGCCGCTCTCCCACTAGTTTCCCCGACACAATGGTCAGGGGCGGGGCCTACATTCGCCCCTCCCCCAGCTGCTCCCGGCTCTGCCCTGCCCACATTCTCGGGAGAGGTGGGAGCTTTGGGTGCAGGTCTCCACCTGGCCAGGAGGGACTCCGCTTGGTTCTGGGGTCCGTGCCTTCTCTGCGGGTAGTCCCGACCTCCACTGGTGACACAAGCACCTTCCTCGGTTCCTCTCTGGTCGCTGCGTAGCTCTGGGTCTCCTGCTCTACTTTCTAGGGACCTTTTCCTCTTGCCCAGTAAGGACGACCCCTGGGTCCATCTTGAGCCCTCTCCCTTCTGCAGCCTCCCTGAGAGCGGTGGAAAAGCCAGTCTCTAAATTACAGCCCTAGCGTCAATTCCTGGCTCTGCTGCTTTTCCCCTTCTGTAAGTGGGGTTGAAAGTCCTTTAATGTGGGAATGTGAGAAATCTTCATAACCACACATGGGGTATGCAAATAGGAGCCCCATAGATCCACACCCTCTCTTCTTCCTGCCCAGTAAACTCCTCAGACACGAAGTCTGCCTTCTCTGACAATTCACTGTAACCGCGATCCGAGACTGCCACACCATGTTGTCATTTGTGTACTAGATGGTACTTTCGGGGGGCAGGAACTGAAGCAGCCACCCCTAATCTTTAATCCTTCCAGTGCCTGGCACCCAGTCAGTGTTTAGTCAGTTTCTTCTAAGAAACTTTTTTTTTTTTTTTTTTGGAGAGGTTTTTGCTATAGGGCTCATGCGCTCGCCAGAAAGACAGAGAGAGACAGAAAGATGGAAAGAGAGAAATCACACCCCTAGGGGGATGGCCACACCGCAATCCCTTCTCCTCCATTCTCCTCTCAGGATCTTGGGCACGCATGCACACGCACCCGGTGTGAGTTTAAGCCACCGGGTCTGGGTCTTGAACCACTGTTGGCTACATGGGAGTCCAGCGACATAGCCATTACAGCATCTGCTGGTCCCTTCTAAGAGATTTTTGCTATAAGAGGCATGAGCTCACCCCATAGCCAGAAGTGAGAAAACCTCTCCCCGCGAGGGGAGAAGGCTATACTGCAGTCCCTTCTCTTCCATTCTCCTCTTGGGAGTTTAGGCATGCAGGCACACGCCCAGCATGAGTTTCAAACCGCCGGGTCCGGGATTCAAACTATGTTCAGCCATGCGAGAGTCCATCCACGTAACCACTACACCATCTACTGGTCCCACTTTCCTCCTTCTAATTTGCAGATTCTCAGGGCGTTTGGCCTTTCCAAGATCAGCTTCTCGGTAGAATGCAGTGATGAGCTGTGGTCTGACAATTCGACAGTCACTGGGATTGAACACGACAGGTCTGAGGCAGGAAGAAAGCCAGCAAATGGAAGCAGGTAAGGGGGCTGGAGCAGCTGCCTATGTGGGGTAGGGAGGAAAACCAATCAAAGCGGAACATTTCCCATCCTAAGTAACATGGGCCAGATAGCTCCAGTATGGGATTTCTTTTTTTTTTTTTAAGAATTATTTTATTTAACTTTTTAAAAATTTATTATTATATCATTATTATTTTTTCAGTTTGATCAGAGAGAGACAGAGAGAGAGAGAGGAAGTGAGAAAGCAAGCCACCAGGTCCGAGACTTGAACCGTGGTTGGCCATGTGGGAGTCCCGCGCCTTTAACCACCACGCCACTTGATGGCCCTGGGACTTTTTTTTTTTTTTTTTAATTTTTTTAAATTTTAAGTTGACCAGAGAGGGACAGAGAGAGAGAAAAAGAGAGAGAAAGTGAGAAAGCAAGCCACCAGGTCAGGACTCAAACGGTGGTCGGCCACGTGGTAGTCCAGCACCCTTATCCATCACGCCATCTGCTGGTCCCTCCAGTGTGGGATTTCTAGCTGATTAAGGCCTGTTTGGCATAGCCAATGGGAAGAAAGCAATCAGGGGCCCCCCCGCCAATGATCAAACAGACATGACCCGGGGTAAGGAGCTGTAGGCCCTAGGGAAAGGAATCTCTGAGGCCCTTGAGCCACTCTTTCTGGTGCTCAGCCTGCTCTTACCTCTTGGGAATGTACTTTCGCTTTTACTTAATAAACCACCCTTCGCTTTCACCGTTGGCACATTTCATTCAATTCTTTGTCTGAAACACCGAGAACCTGGACGTGGCTGAAGCCGTACCGCTGAAGGGCTCTCTTAGGCATCCTGTTCTTGCAATGCTCCATGAGATGTTCTTATTCTCATGCTCCACTCTGCCCTCTCTGTCCCTGACCTGGGGGTAGCCAGGGCTGGGAGGACCAGAGCAGGCCCGAGTACAGGCCTAGAGCTGTGGGAACCCGTCCCGGCTCTACTACTCCCGGTGGAACCTCACGTCCCCTCTCTGAGCCTCAGTTTACTCATCTGCAAAACAGAAATGAGAAGCCAGCAGGCGGTGTGGTGGCTGGAGCACTGGACTCCTGTATGGTGGAGTCCCAGACCTGGCCGCTTGCTTTCTCTTTCCCCCTCTCTCTCTGTCTCTCTCTGTCGAGCCCAGGTGCGCCATAGCAAGTTAAAGAATAGTATAATAGGAACCAGCAGTTGGCATAATGGCTATGTCGCTGGACTCCCATGTAGTCAACTGCGGTTCGAGTCCTGGACCTGGTGGCTTATACTCATGCCGGGCGCATGTGCGTGCTTGCCCAAGATCCCGAGAGGAGAATGGAAGAGAAGGGATTGCGGCGTGGCCAACCCCCTGGGGGGTGATTTCTCTCTTTCTGTCTCTGTCTCTCTCTGTCTTTCTGGCAAGCGCACACACCCTGTAGCAAGAACCTTTCCAAAAAAAAAAAAAAGGGAATAGTATAATAAATAAAATAAATAATTCTTAAAATGAACGGAAATGAGGGGCCAGCAGGTGGCATGGTGGTTAAAGGTGCTGGACTCCCACATGGCTGACCATAGTTTGAGTCCTGGACCTGGTGACTTGCTTTTTCCCCTCTCTCTTTCTCTGATCAAACTGGAAAATAATACATAAATAAATAAGGTTAAATGAAGTAATTCTTTAAAAATTAAATAATTCTTAAAAAACAGAAATGATACTATTTTGTGTGGATTTCACAGGCCAGACATAAATACCACACTTTCCCTAGGAAAAATCAAGACAGCTGGGTGACGATGAACATTCTGGCTGTCAGTCACAGGAACTGTTTACATAGTTAGGGGTAAGAAAAGCTTTTTGGGGGACCAGCAGTTGGCATAATGGCTATGTCGCTGGACTCCCATGTAGTCGATAGCAGTTCGCATCCTGGACCCGGTGGCCTAAACTCATGCTGGGAACAT